CCGTGCTCCTGGGGCAGCTCTGGGAGAGGGGGATAGATCCTGTCAGGCTGGAAGAGAAAGGCACTCCAGGAGTGACACCAAACATGGCAACATGTCAGCCCCAGGCATGCCCCAGAGAGGTGCTAGGATTCAGCTGAGTATCTCTCCTGGTCAGCATCACCCCTAAGCATCTTCTTGCACCGCTCTCTGTTCCCCTTCAACAGACATAGGGAATGTTCATATCACACTGTCCCTCAGCCCCTGCCTGTCCTTCTTCCTCTCTGCCTTTCTTTAGGGCAGAAACTGTCCTTGCCCCTGTCTTTGCCCAGTGAGCTGTTGTCCTTGTGCCCTAGGTGCCCTCAGAGCAGCAGGTGCTGGCTGAGCAGGGGCCCTGGCTACTGCCCCCCCAGCACCTCCGCCTTAGCAGAGCTATTTTCAGCTGCTGGCTCCCAGGGTGCAGGAGCTGCAGCCCTGAACCTGCAGGGAGCTGGTGAGCCCAGCCAGCAGCAAGAAGGATCATGGCACCACTCAGCTGGGTTGCTCCAATGTGGAGAGGTGGCTGGAAACCAGCTCCAGTGTGAGCCCCCTGAGCTGCCCACCTGCAGCAGAGCCCTCCTGTGCTGCTGGGACACTCGGCTCCCCAAGTGCTGTTCCACCCTGTTTGGTGCCTCTGGCACTGCTCAGCTCGGGCTGATGCAGGGCAGCTTCCCCTGAGGGCCCTGCAGTGCCGGGGTTCCCGTGGGGCTGGGGTGCCAGGCACAGCTCCCTGCCAGCTCTGAGCTCAGCACTGACCATCCTCACAACGAGCCAGGGACCTGCACCCCATCCTTCCCTCTGCCCCCCTCCAGGGAGCCCGTACCCTGACCCCACAGTGGTGCTGTCCCCTTTTCCAAGGACATCCCCAAGCCCCGTGCACCCACCCACCTGCTGACCCCCACGTGGGGCCTCACCTTCCCTACCTGGCCAGGGGATACCCCAGATGCTTCTGGGGCACTGAAGATGCTTCTCTTGCTGTGCTGGGGATGAGGCTGAAGCCAAGCTGCAGCCACCAGCACCCGGTGGCCTCTGCTGGCCCGTCCCGGCCCCCTCGGGCTCCTGCTGCTCGCCCCAAGCCGTGCTGGGCTCCAGCCCAGATGCCAAGGTCCAGCCAGGGACAGAAGTTATTTCTGGCTGAGAAAGGGGGCGGAGCAGGGCTGTGACCCTTGGGGACTGCGATGCCATCACCCCAGCATGGAGCAGGTCTGACTCACAGGGATGAGGATGCCACAATCCTGGCATGGAGCAGGGCTCTGACCCTTGGGGACCAGGACGCCACAACCCAGCGTGAAGCAGGGCTGACCCACACGGATGCAGACACTGTCACCTGGCACGGAGCAGGGCTGACCCCTGGGGACATGTGGCAGCAGCAGGCGGTGGCAGTGTGCCATGTGTGCCCAGGCCACCTGGGGGACAGATCAGAGCCAGCCTGGGTGGAATAACAGAGGTTTATTTCAGAACTGGGTATACAGCGGTGTGGTGAAGGCAGGCTGTGCTGGCCGCTGGAGCCGGGGGGGGAGATGTGTCCTGGGAATGGGGGCTGTGCTCCAGGAGGGGCTGCTGCAGTGTGGAGGTGCTCCAGGGATCAGGGATGGCTTCAGCAGTGTGTCCTGGGAGAAGGGAAGGGGTGATGGGCTCTGTGAACAGGAGTATGCCAGAGCCCTGGCAGCCCAAACACAGCCTCCTCTCCAGGGCTGGCCCCAAGGTGTGGGGACACTGACATCCTCAGAATCGCCTTCTGTGCCAACACCTCCTTCAAACCCTCTGCAACTTCTACCATTTCCTTCAGCTCCTCCAGTTCCCCACCTGCCCTGGCTGTCACAGCACCCGTTGGTTCCTGTGTGTGCTTCCATCCACCGGAACGGGGATGTGGTGAACTTGGATAGGGGGGACAGTGACAGGTACACGGTGGGGCTGTCCCTCTTGGTCTGGGCAGGGCAGGAGGGCACCTGTAAACAGTCCCCTTAACATGGCAATAAATAACTTTGGCTCTTTTGCTTTCTAGAGAAAGAAAGATTTGGGAGAATTCTTTAAGAAGGAGTCAAAAGTTAAAAAAAAAAAAAAAAGGGCAGTGTAGAACTTGGGGGCTGGAACTAAAAATTAAATTTTCCTCTCCAAAATCTGGTTTTAATTGACACCAGCCAAATCTAGAGGCTGGGACAGCCTGGTCATGGCATCCAATCGATGCAGCCCACCCTCAGCAGATGTGACCCCCCTCCAAAGGGAAGCAGAGCTCTAGTGACACCGGGGGATAACACCTGGGAGCCGGGGACAGGGGCTCACGGGGCACCACCCAGCCCATCCCATGCTGGCTGTGCGGGATGGGGCTGGCTGGCAGGGACGGGCCGGCTCCCCCTCTCTGCTCCTGCCTGCTGAGCACGCAGTCCTGCCCCGAAAGGTTAGCGTGTAAAAATAGAGCGGGGCCATGCGACGGCGGGCGGCCGGGAGGCACCTGACCCCGCGGGCACACAGAGGGGTCGTGGCAGCTCCGAAGGGACACTGTTTTTGGGGTGGACACTGTTTTATGGGGACCTCAGCCCCGGGGATCAGTGTGTTCCCGGTGGGGATGAGGGGGGCATCACCCGGGCTGACAGGTGCAGGGAGAGGGTTTTTTGGCGGGGGCTGGCTTGTCTAGGAGGTGCAGGGAGCCCCCGAGGGCAGAGCCCCCGTCTTCAGCCTCAGGCTGCTGCTCCAGCCCCGCGGACACAGGTTGAAGCTGTGGATTCCCGGGCTCTTGGTCCCCGAGTCTTCGGAGTCGAGGGAGACGTCCGAGTCCGTCGGGGACCGGGAGGTGCCGCGCTTGGCCGAGG